CCATCAGTTCTCACACGTTCCAATGGCCCAATTAAATTCGCTATCCACCGGGTTAATTAGGAAGAAAATTATCTTTTCAAATACAGGCGTAGAGCGTGACGGTTCTCTCCATGGCATGAACTTAAAGCGGATTTGTCAACAGTGTAATATCGTCATTCGTCATCATTTCAATCTCATCATCATACCAGCTTTTAATTGTCCACTGATGAATATAAACCTCCATCTAGGGTTTCGCAAGTAGTTGCCATGCTTGACAGGCAGATTAGCAATCGCAGTTAGGCTTTGGAGATGCTTTAAAAGGAACGTTGCTGCCCATCCCTAGCCTTCCCTTAGTCGCCTCTTATAATAGCCATGGAAAATGAAGGGATAGCCTATTCTATGCCGGAACCACACAGGAAATTTAAATCTATCCCTGCTAAATTATCTCTCTCATAATTCTTCAGTCGATCACTCTTGTCAGAGCGGTTGTGATAGTATTTTAATAATGGTGTATACACTATAATTATTATCAAATTAACTTTTATTTTATGTAATTTAATTTATCAGTAATAAATAACTGAAAGAATAACATTAAATATCCTTAAGTAAGGTTTTTTTTTATAAATATATACTTATTTAATATAATAATAAGCAATAATAAAAAAAAGAAGAATTAAATATTGTTTTCCGCAAAAAAATCAACTTCCATTGCAACAAAACTAGGTATTTTGATCTAAAAATTATACTAATGAAACACTTTTGATAAAATTTCTATGGAACTAATCTGTAAGTACATTCTTTTAGATAAAAAAAAAGACTAAAAGAAGAAAAGCTAACAAATACAAAAAGAATGGAACTCCCTTCCTTTTTGAAGTCGATTCAAAACTACAGGTAAAATCTAAAATCTTACCAAATATATTCATAAACACAAATATATTATGGGAAAATCGAACCTATATTCAATTGAATGTGATGCAGTATGTTAAGCCACCATGATGGCAATATAAAAAAAGATAAAGAGAACATAAAATGCTTTAACGAAAAGAAATATTCATTATTGCCGCTCGATCGCTCATCGTTTATGACTTAGCACTGCGGGCGAGCCATAAACTGAACGACCGCTTCACAGTTGAAATATGGCTGAAATTCCAACGGCGAATGCCTACTCTCACTGAATTATAGCTAATGAGACGAATATTAAAGGAATTGATGGCGGTTCCTTTAGCATTCTGTTTTTTTTTTAACGGAATAACAACATGCTTTTTTCCCTTTTCCCCGTTGCAACAAAAATGTAACAGGTGCTGTGCCAAACCGTAACATCCTATTAACTTCCCACTGTTGGGCACGGGGCTCTGCACATTAGAGGCGGATATTAACCTAATATTACCTCGGTACCGAGTAATTTCGAAATTTACAGCGCAAAAGGTGCTAGTGTAATGTGCATGGGTCTCTTAATCACCTCTCTTAAAGTTCTAGGGAGGGGGAAAGTAATGGTGATACTTGACTGTTTATATCATTATAATTCGTTGATGGGCAAGAAACCGAGAAATTTAAAATGTATGCATTTATTTTTGAGTCTTTGGTGTAATGTGCAGCCTAAAAAATTTGATCAATGTCTCTTCTCCACGTGGGCCACTAAAATAGCGTGCTAGAAAGTTACTTGGATAAATTACAAAATACTCAATATAATTATTTTATGAGAAATTTCTTACCTTCTGAATATAGTATGACGTGTTGCGTATACAAAACGTCGAATAAAAGGAATAACAAAAAAAAAATATTTATGGAAGAATTAAAGATTACGTCTCACAAATAACAAGCATCAGTTATGACAAAACCAGTTATTTTAAACCGATTTTGATAAAATTTGTATGAGACTAATCTGTTAGTATAACCTTTTAGATGAAAAAGAATTTTCGAAATTGGTGTACAATTGGCGGAGTTATGAAGTAACTAACATTAAAAATTTACAACTGAATTGGAAACTTCCTACTTTTTGTAAAAGACTGAAAACAAACATTTATAATTAAAAAACGACTCTAAAAGGAGACGTAATTTTATTCTTGAAATTTTTCTAATCACATTTCAAAATGGTGTCATACAGCCGCCATATTATTTTATTATTATTAATATTACATTAACTATCACTCGGGATTATGTAAGAATTTTAACGAAACCTCATACATTTAAATCTATCCAGACATTTAGAAGTTATCGTGCAAAATATCACACACTTTTTTTATGGACAACCATTTAGTCTAGGACTATGAATCTGAACACTAATTACGTCCAAGCTCAACCTAATTAACCTGTAAATCTAAACCAATTTGGAACATCAACATTTAGAATAGCCTACAGACCAATTAAAGGATCCAGTTCGTTCTAAATGATTATCATTTGATAACTGATCGTTTGGCATTTAGCGTTGCATTGTTACTGTCTACCTCTACGGGAGACAGGCGTGACTGATATCAAGCTAACTATACTGGGAGCTTTCAACTACAGATACCACTATATTTCAGAAGTTTTTATGATAAATCGTGTACTGTGCAAACTGTTCGAATATGGAATAGTCTACCAACTTCTATACAGACTATAGAGTACTTACCAAGTTTTAAAACAAAAATTAAGGACTTCTATCTGAGCAAGTTGTCATATTAGTAATTTGTGTCTGATCTATGTATTTGTATATCTTTGTATTTCTATGTATACCTATATATTTATATATTTATATATGGATTTATTTAAGTGTATGTATTAGTAACTAAAAATATACATTCACATTATTGTACGTATGCATATCTCTATAAGTATTTAAAAAACGAACAGACTTTCGTGCCTCCAGTCAAACTATTTGTAATTACTCTTCTCCATTCAAAGGTTGTCTGGAAGAGATCGCTCTTAGCGATAAGGCCGCTCATTGTTTTCTCAGTGTAATGTTTTCTTGTAATTGTTTGTATTTATAATAAGTTTACTATTGTAATCTTATCGAGGAAACAATAAAGAGTATCTATCTATCTATACAAATGTTCTGAAAGGCTATTTGAGAGTATATATGCATATACATATTTCAACATTGCATCGCTCACCATTGGCTGGGAATCCATCCTCACACTTTAGAACCAGGGTCGTGCACAGTGGAGCTCAGAGTTCAGAGTGGAGTTCAGAGGAGCTTTCTCCCGCGAACACTCATGTGGTGGAGTGATTTTCCTGCCAAGGCTTGCCCTAAAGACTAGCATGGGGTTCTATAAAAAGGGAAAAATTAAGTTCTCTCAAGGGTCAGTATTACTGTGGTCAAACGTACTCAGATTTAATAATAATAATAAAAATCATCAGAAAGGATCAACAGATCTTATTTCAGTCTCATCTATCATCACTCGCTGATACCCCGCCAGTATATACAGATAGAGCCAACTAGGGTTCACATTTACCCAATAAAAAAATTGTTTTTTGAATATTCTTACGTAAACCATTGACAAAAGGCATGGGTAACATCCATACCGTTCCAATATCTACAATATATATTGGTTTCGTCTGGACATTGTTGGCGGAAAAAAGGTTATATTCTTTTCAATATCGCCCATACCGGTCTGATATCTATTTCGTCATTAAATATTGAATGACATTTACCATACTCGTTATTGAACTAGTATAAAAATATTGTAACTAAAATATATAAGTATTGCTATATTTTACCTACCCCTATTAGGCAACGATTTACACGAACGAAGCTACAATAACAACTACTCCATTTATATAATAATACAAAATCCTCCGCCTAAGCCTCACAATGGGCTCACTGACCTGGCTTTTCATCATCACCTATCATTCCTCATTGGTGCCCTGCCAGAGTATACCGTTAGCGCAAGCAGGGTTAACATTCCATTGTCATCTATTGAAAAAAATATCTTTCGCCTTAACCGAGTGACCCAATAACGCATAACATAAATCGCAAGGGTTTGGAATTTGAAATTTTGTCTTTATGTTCCTTTTATGATATAGAAATTCACTTAGAAAAGATTTTGACCAGAGGGAGATTTTGTACAAAAGTCGATTGCTTGGGTACCTCTGTCCCATTCGTGTTTTTACCGTGAAGCAGTTGTGTTTACATGGCTGTGTTTCGGTATGAAGGGTAGGATATGGCATGAATTTACAAGGTGCAGTAGAATAACACCTGAGTCCTCAGAAATGGCAACGCATGGGGAGTATTATGGGCGAAACAGTATACTCTGTTATGTCCATGGTACTGCTCATGTCTATAGGCGACGGTTACCACTTTCCATCAGGTGGGTCGTCAGCTTGTTTCAGCTTGATATCTAGGTCTTTAGACCATTTTTTTTTATACAACTTAGAATGGCTAAGTTGTATAAAAAAAAATGGTCCAGACCTAGATATCAATAAATACTAAGTTTATTCAGCATCGATTATATAGGCCGATATTGCAATGTCAGCATTTTAGCAACGATGCCTCTCCGCGGAGCCACTAAGTAAGCGAATATCAGACAAAATCAACCACTTTAAAGTATTTTAAATATTTTTATATCAACCGTTAACTATTCCCTGCAGAACATAGGCCTTCCCCGTATGGGGGTTTTACCAGTAATTGTCACGCCTGGCAGGCCGGTTGGCTACCGCAGTTAGGCTTTAAGAATGTTTTAAGAGGGACGATGCTGCCCATCCCTCGACTAGTTAGTGCTCTTAGTCGCTTCTTATGATAACCACGGGAAAAGAGGGGGTGACCTATTTATTCTATACCAGGACCAAACGGCATTTTAAAATATAAAATGGTATAAATTTGAAAAATTTAGAAGATTCTTAAATCGAATATATTTTTTGTATATATGTTACAAGTTTGTTTTCCGATTATATAAAATTTTTATTTATTATTTGGTAAATATGTATTATATTGTGAACAAACTAAATATAACGAGTTTTCTAATTAAAACAATTTCCTTTCAATCCAATTCTATCCTATCGATGTTATTGAAACCGAAATGAGATTTTGAAAAAAAAAAAGCAAATAAATAGAAATCTTTTATAACATTATTTATACCATTATTATCATTAGAATCATTTTATAACATTATTATGAATCTGCTCAACTATTACTATTCACAATTACACATAGACATAAGACATAAAACTTTTCTTTTTCCTTAATTAATTTTTGCCTTATTCATGTACATTAAACAAATTGATAAGTTTCTTTACAAGAAAAACTTGGCATAAAAGATTACAGGTTTGATAAATTAATATTTTTATGTCCATAATAAACATAGTAATATGACATTGTTACGGCAGTTTAGGATAAGTTATAGGGTTGCTATTCGTATTAATTATTATTGTAACCATAATCTCTGCGCTTATAACAATATTTGCAAGTAACTAGTTATGTCCAACTCTCAACGGTCTGTCGTTATGGAGTATATATAACTGAAACAATTGTTTACAGATATTACTTACTAATAAACTTCAAAAAGAGGACGCTTTTCTATAAGATTGTTTTATCAAACGATCTCAAAAAAAGGTTCTAATTTTTTTTTGTTTTTAACTCATAACTCCGTCATTTACAAATCGAATTAATACTTTTTTTTTTTATCTAAAAGAATATACTTTCAGATCAATTTTATGTAAATTTTAATAAAATCGGTTCAGTAGTTTGGTTTTTAAACAGAAATAACTGTTACGTTTAAAAGCGATTTTTATTGTGGAACACAATTTTTTTTCTACGTTTTTCTTATAAACATATTTACTAATTCTGAGAATATCTTATCTGTTGTAAACATATACTGGTAACCTAAATCTGAAGAAAATTCTTAAGAAGAAAAAGTATAATATTAAAGAAATATTTTTAAAATTTAAGGTCAATGACCTTTACAACGAAATGCGTTAACCGCTCGTTCCATGGCCACACCATAGTCCACTATAGCCAGCGCAGTCGCTACGGTCAGCATTTCTGCAAGATGTGCCGATTAATGAGCTCTTCGATATACCTAAGAGAGCTATCAGGCACATTAACATCCCTGAAAACGAGACACACTGCTATTTAAAACGACCAACAGTTTTCAAAGTTCACTGACACTGGCATGCTCTGGGTAGAAGAAATTATTATGATTATCTAACGATTCAATTATTATTTTTTTTTATATTATGTGTTTTAAATAAAAAAAACGAGTAGGTACATATGTTTTCATATTAGCAGTTTACTGTTCACTACTGAACACAGACCTCCCCCATAAAGGGAGTTTTGCCAGTAGTTGCTACGTATAGCAGGCGGATTAGCAACCGCAGTTAGGCTTTGGTGATGTTTTACGCTACCGCCTATTCGTCGATTATTAAAATCCCATAGTTCCCTCTTACGACACCCACGGGATAGATAAAGGTGGCCCTTTCTATGTCAAGACCATACGGCTATATACATTTGTATGTATGTAAATAATACATTATTATGTAACATAATTCTTGAAAGAATGATTTCAAAAATTGATTAAAAAATAGTAATTTTTATTTGTAACAACCTATAATCAAAACTATAAAACGAAATATATTTTTAATTGATTTTATTTTATTTGATTCGATGCCAATCAAATCTTATTTTGACTAAACCTTACCTTTCAATGTAAAAAAACAGTAAATTAAAAAAAAATCCCTGAAATTTAAAAAACAATATTAAACAATTTACATTTAATTAAACTTCTGACCAATTTTATCAGAACCAAATTTAGGGTACAAAAAAATAACACCTGAGTCCTCAGGAATGATAACGCATGGGGTGTATCATGGTCGAAACAGTACACTCTGTTATGTCTATAGGCGACGGTTACAACTTTCCATCAGGTGGGGCGTCAGCTTGTTTGCCATTCTAAATTACATAAAAAAAAATACTTGTAATTTACATACATATATAGAGACTACTTTTCTATAACACTAAAATAAATCTCTCTATCAAAAACTTTATCTATCTTTAACAGTAATGTTAAGAAAAAAGTTAGAGAAATATGCGATATATTCGTTCACTGCCACACCAGTGTGTCACGAAGCTAAGCGTTGCAAGCGAAAATTTCCGATAAAATTAACATAATGACGCCAACAACGAGTGGTCCGGGCACGACGATAATCTCCCTGCTGTACGAGAACATATAATATGTGCTAAGTAGGTATTAAGTTACACCCCGGACGATAGTGCAGCTAAAACTTGCTAAGAGAATAATATCACTTATTAAATATTAAATTAAGTTTATTATTGTTTGGACGTATGGAATTAATATAGGATGAGAGGATAACAAAATATATTATAAACACAATATTATGAAGTAATTTAATAATAGTATAAATATCCACCGATATAACCGATATAATAATATTTATTCATTCTGATTCGATACATATAGCACGAATCAAGTGTACACATAGATCTTACACAGTGTGATGGCTTAACAACTAGAGCGTATTAAAACTTAAGATCAGACCAGAAAAATAGAAAGTACAGTGGTTATTCTGTGAAACAAATAACTGACAATAGCCACCTAGCAAAGTTAGTTTTTTACATCAAAATAGACATTACAAAATGAAATGAAATGTATCTACTTTGTAACACCAACGCCAAGTAATATGAGGGTAGTTTAGGCAACGAAAATGTTTTATGATTTTTTTACAACACAGGGGGGCGAACGAGCATGCGGCTCACCTGATGGTAAGTGACTGCCGCCGCCCATGATCACCCACAACACCTTCGGCATTGTAGGTGTGCTGCCGGCCTTTTAAAAAGGGATATGCTCTTTTCTTAAAGGTTATGTTGTCGTATCGGTTCGGAAATATTGCTGCTAGAATTTGATTCCAAAGAGTGGTTGTGCGTGGGAGAAAGTGCCTTGAAAAACGCACGGTGGAGGACCGCCACTCGTCCAGATGATTGGGATGAAACTTTAGTTTATGGCGGGTTGTACGGTGGTGAAAATCAGCAGCAGGTATCAATCCGAACGATAAATTCGGTAGAATTGATTTTGAATATATTTTATGTTTATCGTACCTACTCATAAAGATTCTGTTTTATATAATGTAAAGGTAATGTTAGTAGGTAAGGTAATAGTATATCATTAATGGTTTTAATAGTAGCCTAGTTGTTAAAGATATTAGAAGAGGATCAGGCCTCGGAAATATCTGGAGTCGAGTTAATTACTGTCAATGTAATTTTATATGTCGTTTACATACTAGGGTTTTTTTTTGATGGGTTAAAATGGTATAGTAACCCCGCCTGCGCTAACGGGATACGCTGGCGGAGCTCCAGTGAAGGGTGATAGATGAGAATTAAAACAGGCCAGTTAGCCCATCGTGATGAATTCATCAGGAACTAACCATGATAGTTTCCAGGGAGAACCGCGAGGAGGTCGACCTGGTTGGGTATATTGCTAGCAATGGGATTCTCAGTCTCCATTACTAACAATCCCTTTCCCCCACTAAGTGCTAGGGTTATATAATCGATTTGTTTTTTACTGTTACGACGTTATAATTATTTCTATGAATAAATAAATACATAAATTTATCTAACCTCTGTGATTACAAAATGTTTTCGGATTTGACGAAACTTGGCGTGGAATTACGTGAAAAAGCTTACAAATTGAACTTTGTGTGAGGAACGTTTACTTTTCCAAGAGTGGCAGTCACATACTGTATGACTGTGTTGAGAAAAATTACAAATTATTTATAATTGCCACAAGTTCTATTTCTAGTTGATGCCCTATGCATAATCCATTAGAAGTCAGGAAGCTTCAGGAAGTTAATCATCATCATCGTCTCAACTATTATCTCCCTCATCGGTATTATACAACTTAGAATGGCAAACAAGCTGACGGCCCGCCTGATGAAAAGTGGTAACCGTCGCCTATAGACATGAGCAGTACCATGGACATAACAGAGTATACTGTTTCGCCCATGATACCCCCCATGTGTTGTCATTCCTGAGGACTCAAGTGTTATTCCTTTGTACCCAGTAAATTCACGCCATATCCCACCCTTCAAACCGAAACACAGCCATGTAAACACAACTGCTTCACGGTTGAAACACAAATGGGACAGAGGTGCCCAAGCAATCGACTTTTGGTACCCAAGCAATCGACTTATGCGGAAGACTTATGTTCAGCAATGGACAGTTAATGGCTAAAATAATAAATAATGTAAAAAAAAAAGATAAAAAATACCGTTGCATTAACAATCTCTATTTTTAAAATTAGTTGAGACGAGAAAAATGTTACTGCATGCATAAGTGAGAACCTTTCTCGCTTATGCATGAAACGCTTAATATTTTATTATTTTCTTAAGCAAGATTAAAAGGGAAAACTAAACGCAAAGGCACATAGTGAGGAGCGTTAATTTGGCCAAAAACCTTGACCTGTAACACTAAGAGGAGAAAAGGAGGCGCGTATAAATAAATCAGGGGATGGTTAAAAGCGGATTGCTACGAAATAGTGCCGTAGTCACAGTGAGTGGGTGTTTTGTCGACACTCGAGCAACTGCGCGTATCTCAAGCGAACAGGGCCCCATTAACTTGTTCAGGTGATCGCGCCGTGACAAGCGGAGCGTGTTTTGTATCGTTTGTTTATACATTTCTTAATTTTTTTCCTGTTTTCGCGGCCCAACTTGTAGACGCTTAATTTGGTTCCGAATCTGATCTGCAACTAACGCTCTTGTGATGGAAAATAAAATTCAGAAACAAAATTGATCCTAATATTGACGTTAGATTCATATCTTGCTACGTTCAATGCCAATAAATATGATAAGCGACATCTATTGTCACGTTTGTCACAACGATTATAGTTGGTTATATATAAACGCCTCTCACTACCCCATCATGAATTACAGTCTTGAGTATACTTATTTTAAATATTATTTTATTTTCTAATTATACTTAAATTATAAATTCTCTATATGTATTTTTATTCATTTATTATAAAAAGAGTATATTTTTTCAGATAATATGTGTATACTAACAATAAATATACTTTTTATTCTAATTACATATACACGGTCTTTTTTTTACGAAAACGCTATGTAATCCGCTCCGCTATCGCCTGTCACTGTATCCTCGTCATGGCTACTGTCAATGGGCGTAACCACGTAATGAACTAATGATGCTGACGCATTTGCCATTACTGGGCTCACTGATGGGCTAGAATGGTCTATTGTCTGTCTATATCAGCTCACACTAAGCCTTCTATATAATCGAAGTAAATTTAATTCACTAACATACATCAGATATGAATGTATAGAAAACTTTATATTTTGCTCCACAAAAGAAAACTTCAATCTTGACTTGAATCTCTGGAAATTCCAGACCATATCCAGAAATATTTTTTGTTTTAAAAATAACCATTAAATTCGTTTCATAAGTGGTCAACAGTGGGACACATAAAGAAAATACTAGGCGTCATGTCGTATAGAGAAGTCAAAGATATAAACCAGAATAGGCTGGACGACAAGAGGAAACTAGAAAATAGAGAAAAAAGTGCTTAACATGAATTTCAAAAAGTTCTACAAGATCCGAGAAGAGATACAACGCGTTTTTCATAATAGTCTGTACTGGATTGCTCAGAAACAAAAACACCAAAGTCGAGGATACTCTTTCAGTCAACTATCATGACACCAGATATAGTAAATCATTTCATGAACAGCACCATCGTCTACCGCTGTTACCACTACTACCGCTTACAGATAGAGACATACACTTTGTTGTTCCCTCCACAAGATTACAATAGTAAACTTATTATAAATACAAACAATGACAAGAAAATATTACACTGAGAAAACAGTACGCGGCCTTAATGTTAAGAGCAACCAAACTAATCTTGTCTACTGCCCACTTTATAAATTATTTTTTAACGTCCCCATTTTTTTACCAACTTAAAAACCACTATTACTTCAAGATCAAGAAATCACCCTCCAAGCCTTTACACAAAGCCCCCATTTTTTTTCTTGGTCTCTTACCGCTTCCCTTTAGGCCTGCAATGCCCACAAGGGGACGTTATCGCCCACTTTGAGAAAGGCTAGTTAAGAGCGATTCCTTTCAGGCAACCTTTATCTTATCTTATATTCGCATATGGGGTCAGCTAAGCCGATGCACGTCGACCCATATGGATCTTTTGTGCTTCCCCCTTTTCAGGCAACCTTTGGATGGAGAAGAGTAATCATAAACAGTTTAACTGGAGGCACGAAACTCCAATGTTTTTACACATCTTCACCGCTTACACTAATGTCTTTAGATTAAACGGTGCCAGGTGAGATCACCATCCTCGTCATCATATCATCTGTATACTGCTAAACATAAACCTCCCTCATAAAGTGAAGTTTTTCAGTAGTTGCCACACTTAGTAGAAGCGACACCATAAGAACAAGGAATAGGGTGAGACACTGTGATGTAAGTACCGTATTTACTCTGTAGAAAACTTCGAATAAAGTATGGGCAATTGTTGGAAATGACAAACATAGGAAGTATG